AATGGGCACCACGTGGTAAATATAATGGGCACCACGTGGTAAATATAATGGGCACCACGTGGTAAATATAATGGGCACCACGTGGTAAATATAATGGGCACCACGTGGTAAATATAATGGGCACCACGTGGTAAATATGATGGGCACCACGTGGTAAAGCAAATTGGAGCAAGATGGAAAAAGCCAACTCACAACGATATTGAGAGCGAAAGAAATGCTCAAAAAATGAATTCAATATTAAAATAAAGGAAAATGAAACAAAATTGGTTATATAAACCTTCAGATAAATATAATGACTGTTTTTGGCATATCCTTGGGACATCAAGAACGACTTTAATTTTTTCTTGATTTTCAAATTTGCAAACTAACATCTAGTTTTGAGGTGAGAATATCCAAAATGTATCCTTGATGTGCACATAGAAATATTGAAACCTTTTAATCAAAATCACCGAAAATTTCTTTTTCTTCTTTTACTCACCCTTGGCTTATAAAAGATTATTTAGATTGAAGGCTTAGAGAAATAAACGTTCGGAACCTTATTATCATCCTTTTGTTATGGAGAGCGTTGAGAGAAGGAAGCCTTACAATCCTATCCAGAGAAATTATTGTAGTGTGACTGTAAGTTTCTGTGCTTGTTTTAAAATTCCCCACTGTATAGTATTTCTCTTTAGTGAGATAAATTAGACTTTGCTGCCTAATATTCACTGTAAGCTAACCTACAGGCTACAAGCTACTAAACACTAAACTCTATATATTAGACTAACACGACATAATTTAACAAATTTACAGATTTAAAGGGAGTGTTGCGAAAAATGAAAATGGGAATAGGCCTACGGGGAAAAATAAGCGCTTTTAATCGCTACCAATCTTACTTCTATCTCGTCTCTAATGAGAAAATGGTTAAAAACGACTCTTACCGAAAAACGTAGATTCCTTACAAATTCAGAAGGTTGCAATATTCAACTCGGATCGTAAAAAAATAAATTTAATTCCAAACAAATCATTTAGATATTACAACCAATAAAAATCGATTATTTTTCGATGCATTCGCATATAGTTGATATTTCATAATATTTTTTAATTTTTTATGATCATGAGAGTTACTTTTGAAAACATTTATTCCTGTTTCGAGGATTTTTGATGATGAAGACGACATTTTCATATTTTCCAGGAATGTTCGAAAATCTAATGCCAGCGAAATATATTTTTTGAAAAAAAAATCAAAAATATTATGAAATAATAACTATATACGAATACTTCAAAAAATAGTTCATGAATATTGGTTTTATAAACGCAACAGATATAAGTAAAATTACTAGCGATCAAAAGCGCTTTTTTTCTATTCCCCCTTTAATTTATTTGCGAACTCTCCCTTTAAATTTTCTTAGCATGGTTTAAAGTTTTAAGTTAAGACTTTCATAGAAAAAAAATGTTTGTTTCCAGGCAAAACTGGGTTCCTGCTATTGTATACGGTGGTAGGCCATTATATTACGGTTGGACGGTAAATTAAAAAAGTATTGCCTGAAAAATGTCGGATCTTTTTATTTTGAAAATCCACCAATTTAAGCAGGAACATTCGCAAAAATTTGTTTTTAATCAATAAACGGCAGCTTTTGCGCGGATTTCTTCATAATAAAGTGCAAAAAATGAGCAATTCTTGGCGGAAACAAAGATTCGCGAGCAAAATCCTATTTCTAAAATCCTATTTCTAGAGCTTATAATAACAACATAAACCGTTTATTTCAAATTCAATTCCTTAAACAAGTTTCAATTAAATCACAAAATAGCTCTAGACATCAAATTTATCTATATCTTAAACTGTAAACACAGTTTGTTCTAAAATTTATTTTTGAAAAAAATTACTTGACATTGATCCCTCGCAGTATGTAGAAAATAATGGAGGACTATGAAAGAAAAAAAATCATATTTAAAACAGGAGTATTTAAAAACATATTTTATGTATTTATGATTTATGCGATTTTATATTTGAGATCTTCTTTTATCGAGACGTCCCGTCAAAAAAAATACTGTACGTATTCATGTTGTAACGAAACATTCATTTTCAGTCTGTCTTTAAGTTTCTTTTTTCATTAATTGGCTATTTTTGTATTACCAATAAAAATGTCCAAACAAGCGACAATTTTTACAAATAAATTACAACAATAGACTTTTGACTAAACATTCAAGCTGATTTCATTTACCAAATCTAATTATGATCAAATAGTTAACAAAAGTAAAATTTTACTGAATCTAGGCTTTCAGGGGGCTTCGCGTCCATCTTCTATTTCAACTGTAAACATTTTCTTTTTGTATCCATTATAAAACAATGAAAAAAGTTTGCGGATGTTTTGAATATTTTTTCACGGATTTTTTAAATTTTATGACAACTAAAAATTTTTTGAGACAATTTTGATAATTCTTGGCATCAATAAACCTTCCCTGGGTCATGCAAGGTTCCACACAAAATTTGGGCCCGATCGGTTCAGCCGTTTTGACGTTTATTGGATTCAAACGGACAAACAATCAGACACAAACAAAGTCTAAATATAGATCACAAATGTAAAGTTTAGGGCATAAAATCTGTTCCTTTCGGTTGTAACTTGTTTCACATCTTTATAGATGATATATATATCTATATATAAATTTGGCTTGTCTGTCTGTCTGTTTGTCTGTTTGTTTGTTTGTTTATTTGTATCCAATAAACGTCAAAACGGCTGAACCGATCGGGCCAAAATTTTTTTGTGGGACATCTAGGGACTCAAGGGAAGGTTTATGAATCATCAAAATTTCAAATATTTGTCTCCATCAAAATTCGATCGTCATTAAATTTTTAAAAATTTTGAAAATCCGCGAATTATTTTTGTTTTGTTTTACGATGTACACAAAGAGAACATGTTCACAACTAATTTAGAAGATGGGCGCGAAGCGCCCTCTAAGGCTAGAAAGAAGGGCGCGAAGCGCCTTGAATTTCTAGTATATCTATACTTTGCTTGTCTGTCTGTTTGATTGTATCCAATAAACGTCAAAACGGCTGAACAGATTGGGCCCAAATTTTGTATGGCAACTCACAGGACCTCAAGGAAAGTTTATTGACCGTAAAAGTTGAGCAATTGTGCCCGAAAAAAATGTCAACAATAATTTTTTTATTGGAAATACGCCAGTTTTCAAAAGAAAAATCCTCCAAAATTTGAGAATGCAAAAAAATGAATACTTTTAGCTAGTTTATAAGCTAAAAATTGTCAATAAAATAGTGGCACGAAGCGCCCAAAAAAAACCTAGTTAAACTTATACATCTATAAACTTGATGAAAAGTCATCTTCTTCTTTAATTACAGATAGATCATTGTACAGTTCATCTCTTCTGAAATAATTAAGTAAATAAAAACTGAAAACAAAATATTAAAAAGATAATAGAAAATAACAGATTATAAAGAAAAAAATTAAAACATATCAAAAACAGATAAAAGCTAAAAAAATCAATATTTTGAAGAAAAAAAATTACACCTGAAATGATGTTTTTTCATTACTTGTCTTGAAGAGTGTTTCATCGCAAAACTATCTGATAAAAAAATAATTGATACATTCTTAAAAAATAAAATTATCGGTTGGATTCAAGATCTTAATTATATCATTTTTTGGAAAGCGTTTTTAACCCAAAAGCTAAATATTTCTTTTAAATACTTACCTGCAGATTCATTCTGATGCGGAGCTGGCTCAAATTCGGATTCTTGGCTAAGCCATGTCTGCTTTAAATGTCGTCTTCTGTATTTGCATTTTTTATTTTTTAATGTTTCTTAATATATGATTTAATAAAATATTGATTTCATTGACATTGCACATTGGGACAGAAAATGTAAAAACTTACTGATGAAAATTGTTATCTTTTTTATTTTTAATCCGGCGTTTATACCAATATAATTAAGTTCTATTTATTTTTCAATGTCTAACAAACTTTTTTCAAATTACAAGTTGACAAGTAGACGAAGAGAAGCTGTTTTTTGACATCTTTTCAAAAGGCTTAAACTTAAATATAAAATCGTCTTCATTGTATTGATATAATTGCGCCGATTACTGTATAACTTACAAGAAATATGATTTTGAAGTTACTAATAATGTGTTATCAGTGTTTAGGTATTTTCCCAAAGGCATTTTCCCAAGGGCGATTTTCCAAATGACAATTTCCCAAGTGGAAACTTCCCTTAAGTATGTAATTTCCCAAGCTGAATCTTCCTAAAGGTTAGGTTATGCCTTCTGAGGTGCTGCAGGCTGCAATGGGGTGGCAACCTGTTGCAACTTTGCTAAGTGACAACATTGCAATGTGACAACATTGCCATTTGGCAACTTTGCCATGCAACAACATTGCAATGTGACAACTTTGCCATTTGGCAACTTTGCCATGCAACAACATTGCAATGTGCCGTGTGATAAATGAATTATAAAATGTGCCTTGTTGTATTTTCCCGACGATGATCTCGTCTTGCCTGAAATACGAATCTTAAAAATTAATAAAAGGAGTGTGAAATTTATTTTAAGTGACCTTCCATTTATAAAAATGACATGTCTAATTCACAACGGTACCCATTAAAAGCTGTGTCTGATCAGGAATCAGGGGCAGACATAGTGGCATTAGCCATGGAGCGATGTTCATCCCTGAAGCTAAATGCTCACCCCTAAGGCTGAAGCTTGGAGGATTAGCTCTGGAAGGTAGAGACAATTCTGAAATTCTAAATCCAAATGGTTAAATAAATTCTATGTGGTTGAAATAAAAGACTGCACAGTGTTTAGTAGTTATATTTTTAGTTTGAATTTCACGCTCATATATGTTGTAGTGAGCTATTGTAATAAAAATAGTGTTTTTTTATAATATACTATTAATTAGTTTGTCTCGTCATCTTACAAGGACTTATTTCTCCAATCCAGGTATATATAATCCAGGTATAAATCCTAGGGATTTCTAGATCCAAAATTTGCTCCCATGGGCAGATGGCGTGTGTAAATGTTTCACCTAGGATCCCAGTACTTTTATAAATCCCTTTATAATCTCTCGCTGGATATCTTTCAGGTTTACTAATGAATAGAGTTCTATAATCGTTAGATTTGTATTAATAAAATAAATCTTTACAGAGTTAATCTTGGTTTAATCAGCTCTTTTTGGTTTTCTGGAAAACCATCGTTCAGCTAGAGAGAGTATATGCGGGTTCTCTGCCTTTCTATGATGGTTATGAGCAAGGTTATAATGCAAGGAAAGTTATTTCAGAGTTGTACGCATCTTTTGTACTGCAGTGAACTGTCTCTGGGCGGTAATGTAATCACAAGACAGATGTCGAAGCCTGACATGGGATCCATCTTGCACATACAAAATCAACGAAATATTCTGGTCATAGGAAAACTATTAAGTAAATTATCAAAATTTAATGCTTTTAACCTCCTCGGATACGAAACGAACACTGATGCATCTATTCTTGTTTACAAATTCTGCCCAGAGAGAACTGGTTTCAATATGTTAGCAGAGTATAAGCAACTACAATTAACTTTCCTTGCATTATTGCCTTGGTTATGAGCATATCTAGCTCAGCTTGTGCTTGTACTGGACCAGGATGCTGTTCAAAGACATCACGAGCAAGGGGTGCACCAGATTGTTATAAGCTTTGAAAGCTGTCTCTGAAATTCTCTGTCACTTCTAACAACAATGACAGTCCCTTTAAGAATCAATTTAAATGGACTTTAAGTGTAATTTCAAATGACCAACCGTGCAAAGATGGCAATGCTCGAAACATAAATGGTATCCTTTAAACCCTGATCTTATGATTCATATAATTTATATATGTTTTTCAGCTGTAGAAATGCGCAATGCACTTTTGAAGACAAACCATACTTGAAAATTATTAGGTTTCAAAATTATAAACATCGATATTGTAACCAGCATGGTTGCATAACCACGTAGCTTGGATTGTAAGAAGTTCTGTTGATGCTGTATCTGCAGTTTATAATCTAACCCGAGGCTAAGCTAGGATTGTAAGTAGTTCCGTTGACACAATCCTCGCACTTTTACCCCAAGCCAGTTTTGTCCACATCCTCAGCGTGGCATAGATCCAAGCCAACAACTAGACCAACGTGATGGAGAGGACTCGGCAGGGTTTGAACCGAACATAGATTCAGTCTCAACGAAGGATTTCATAGGAGAAGTCAAATGGGATATTCGTCCACCACTTGCCTCGACTCTTACCACTTTAAATATTTGATTGTTTGTTTATCTTTATTTTGCAAATACAATATTTGTGTTCAATCTTGCTTTTCTATTCATATTATTCAAATTCTAATTCATACTTGATCCGACAAAACTTTTAAGAATACTGTTGTGAGTGTCATCCTTCTATGGAAAGTCAGTTGAATTTACGCTTACGTCACTTTAAATTTGATTTCAAATTGTTCATCACAAATCTGTTGGTTTGCTTACCTTGAACTGGAACCATTTTTTCGTGATTGCCATCTTCACATCAGGAGACAGTACACAATATAGCAGGCAAACAACAATTCCCTGACAGTACATGATATAGCAGACAAACAACAATTCCCTGACAGTACACAATATAGCAACAATTCCCTGACAGTACACAATATAGCAGGCAAACAACAATTCCCTGACAGTACACAATATAGCGGGCAAACAACAATTCCCTGACAGTACATAATATAGCAGACAAACAACAATTCCCTGACAGTACATAATATAGCAGACAAACAACAATTCCCTGACAGTACACAATATAGCAGGCAAACAACAATTCCCTGACAGTACACAATATTGAAGACAAAAGAACAATTTCCTGACAGTAAACAATATAGCAAACAAAAAAACAACTTCCTGGGGAAACTGATTTAATCTGAGGGAACCTTTAAACACCGTTATCTGCAAAATAATAGCAAGTCAAATATCTTTTAGAAAATGTTGAATTTTAACAACTGTTGTCTCTTTCATCCGCAATTTACGGTTAAAATTGAATCATACATTTTCAAATAGAAAAAAAACTGCTCATGATTTTTGCTTAAACAAAGCGTTTATTTAAGTCAGTAAGTTTTCCAAAAATAAAGTGAAAGTGTCCCATCCCCTACAGGCTACAGGCAGAAAACTAACAACAGCCTGACAACCGGTTTTTAGTACAGTTAGTATAAATCTAAAAAGTACCGATAAATACTAAACTGTATTCCAATTTTTTAAAACACTACTTTTACATGGTGATTGGTAATTCATGAAACAATAATCTAAAAATTCCCCTAATTCAGGCATTTTCAAAATGTGGTCCGCCTTTTTTATTCGAGATTCTATACGAATTTTGTTTCTCTTTCATCATAAATAAAATCAAAATTGTCTGAATCTAATTCTGAAAGTAAAAAATAGGACAGGGATGTTATTATAAATCTAAGAAATTCATTTTGAACTTAGCTTAATAAATGGATACCGCAAATTATTTCATAAAGCACAGACGACCTTCTTAAGTCGTCTCTGATAAGATAAGATAAGATAACGTTTATTGCTAAAATAAATGTATCTGTATACAGATAGAGTTTACAATCACAAAATTGATGATTATATTAACAGTACAAGTATAGAGCAATTAGGTGGAAAATAGCTCTTGGCTGTTTTGATTATTTTTTCCACCTAATGTTAGTAATAATAACAAAATATTTCAATTAAATAGATTTAAGGAGAACGATTNGGTATGATAGACTTTAGCAAATTTGTTGAAATTTTGTCTGGTCCAGAACTGTTTTTACTTTTTAGTTTTTTAAGAGCATCATTTATAATATCAGGGGTCATATTTGCAAAAACAAAGTTTTCATCTGTTCCCTGTGACAAAAAGTCAGAAAATTGTTTTTTAGTGCCCTTAATAGTTTTTGCCAGATCAGGACCTATATTAGCAAAAAAATTGTTAAAACCCTCTGATATTTCTACGGCCCCTGAGAGAACTTTTCCATTGCTCACAAATGCATCAGGAATGTTAATTGTTTTACGTCCCCTTCCTAGTACACTATTGATAGTCAGCCATGTTTGTTTACAATCTTTACTATATTCTTGAAATTTATCATTAAAGTATTTTTTTCGTGCTGCCCTCACAAGGCGAGTATACACTGCATTATATTCTTTAAATCTAGATTTAGTTTCCTGACAGGGTTTCCTCAACTTTTTATTAAACAATTTGGCTTTACGTTTTCTCGATATTATCAGTGCTTCAGACATCCAAGGGTTAAAAGGTCTATTTTTTCTGGAAGGATTTACATTTTTTTTCAGGGAATGAACATTCGAAACAGTTATCAATCGAATCAAAAAAATTATTAAATGCACTGTCCTGATCTCTATTCAGAAGAACATATTATGTTTCATGGGACGCCCTTAATCCTAACCTGTGATCCTTTCAGTATAGCATTGGTTACCATATAAGCATCTTCCAGGACACCTCCATCCCTTTAACATTTGCTGTTGATTTACAATGAAAAGATGTTTTTCCAAGTGATCCTTTGATGTTCAAGGTAAATGTCAAGAGATGAGATTTTATAGGATACATCTATCTTATTTATTTATAATTTTTTCTCTTTTTTCCTTTTTGATCTGAAAATTAATTGATCTTGGCCATTTTCTTGCTTGCAGAGAGAAAACAATGCAAATCTATATATATACTTTGCTTGTCTGTTTGGGTGTCTGTCTGTCTGTCCGTGTGTGTCCAATAAACGTCAAATGGCTGAACCGATCGGGCCCAAACTTTTCGTGGAACCTTACGTGATGGATAAAGGTTTATGAATAATCGAATTTTCAAAAATTGCCACTAACTAAATTATATTTTCGAAATTTTGTAAATCCACGAAACTTTTGTATTTTTTTGTTTTTCAATTTATACAAAGAGAAAATGCTCCCAATTGAAATATAAGATTGGCGCGAAGCTCCCTGAAAGCCTAGTTAAGTATAAAGAGAATTTTCGCTTCGCTATCGCTTTAAATATGAAAATTTTAAAAAAGAAATCATTCTCAAACTAAAGTATTTAATGTTTTTGATCATAACTTTTTAAATTGAAGAGATATTGAGAAGATGAAAATTGTTTTCAAATTCTAATATGTAACAATCCTATAATTGAAGAGATATTGAGAAGATGAAAACTGTTTTCAAATTCTAATATATAACCATCCTTTAATTGAAGAGATATTGAGAAGATGAAAATTGTTTTGAAATTCTAATATATAACAATCCTTTAATTGAAGAGATATTGAGAAGATGAAAACTGTTTTCAAATTCTAATATGTAACAATCCTATAATTGAAGAGATATTGAGAAGATGAAAACTGTTTTTAAATTCTAATATGTAACCATCCTTTAATTGAAGAGATATTGAGAAGATGAAAACTGTTTTCAAATTCTAATATATAACAATCCTTTAATTGAAGAGATATTGAGAAGATGAAAATTGTTTTCAAATTCTAATATATAACCATCCTTTAATTGAAGAGATATTGAGAAGATGAAAACTGTTTTCAAATTCTAATATGTAACCATCCATCCTGTCACCTGGGATTTATAAAGAAAATCAAACTTGAGATTCCGAGGAAGAAAAATAGAACAACCGTAGCTTTGATCGCTTTCCTGAAAAAAATATTATTTATTTAAACAAGTATCAACCTTATTGCGTAATGTATTATACAAGGCAGCTGACAAGGTGCTGCTGGGAAGTAATGTTTTTATTACCCTTAATTACCCGTGCAGGTCGTAACTCGTAATTCCAAAATGTCAGGACTCCCTGACGAAGATGTAATATGTTACAAGTATCAAATTTAATAGTTTCATAATCCCAACCCTTCTCCCTTTTCCAACAAAAAATACTATTTACAAAAAAAAAATTTCAAAAATTGTAAACAAATTTTGAAACATTGAATACCAAATTTCAAATCTTGTTCCGCAATATCCGACCCGGGAAATTTGAAGAAAGTTGTCTCTGAAAAAAGTGCGTTTATTCTACAGAAAGAGACCAAGCACATTTCCTAATATTAGTCCTAAATTTGATGATTGAAAAATATTTCTTCAACGACCCTTGTACCTTCTAAGAGCACTTTTTGACAAAATACAACGATGTTTAGAAGGGTAAAAGACGAAATGCACTTTTTCAGAGGCACCCTGTATATGCTTGATAAATCTTTCAAGGGAAAGTGAATATTTAGATTTTATACCGTGGCTCAAACATGCCAACATTTGATAATCTATTAAAGGGAGTGTTCGCGAAAAATGAAAGGGGGTATAGGCTTACGGCGATAAATAATCGCTATTCATAGCTACTAATCTTTCTTCTATCTGTTGCGTCTATAAGGAGAAAACGTCTCATACCGAAGAACGTAGATTCCTTACAAATTCAGAAAGTTGAAACATAGGACCCCAATCGAAACGAAATCAATTTAATTCCAAACAAAGCATTCAGATATTACAACCTATAGTCATCGATTATTTTTCGACGCATTCGTATATAGTTAATATTTCATAATATTTTTTACTTTCTATGATCCGAGAGTCACTTTTGAAAACATTCATTCCCGTTTCGAGGATTTTGATAATGAAGACGACATTTTCCATATTTTCGGGGAATGCGCCAGTCGTGAAAACAAGTTGTAAGCGAAATATTAATTTTAAAAACACAAAATAAAAAATATTATGAAATATCAACTAAATACAAATGCGTCGAAAAATAATCGATGACTATAGGATTTAATATCTAAATTATTTGTTTGATATTAATTTGATTTTTTTACGATCCAAGTTGTATGTTCCATTTTCTTCAATTTGTATGAAACACTTCGTTCTTCGGTATGAGACGTTTTTAACAATTTTCTCCATATAGACGCAACAGATAGAAATAAGATTAGTATAGATCAGAAGCGATTATTTATCGCCGTAAGCCTATACTCCCTTTCATTTTTCGCGACACTCCCTTTAATGAGATCATTTTCGATCGTTGAAGAATTAAAATCGGTATTAGATCAAAAATCGTTCATTTATAAGAAATTTTGTTTCTTATTTTTTCACATTATTCTATTTATTGTATTTCAAAGCAATCTATAAATAACTTATTTTTACAATAAAAAAACATGCAAAACTACTTTTGCAATTCTAAAAGCAATAGTTTCTAAAAGTTATTTTTTTTTTTGGTAACACCAACTTTAGGTAACACCATTTTTCAAAGGTTGCTATGAACCCTTGACGAAAATAAGCAAAGGCGGCTTAAAAGGGGGGAAGGTGAAGAGGTTACGCCCTCTCCCCTCTCTGCAAAAAGAAAGGACTCAATTTTGAATTGCAAGACTGGATTTTTATAAAATTCCATGCGGTGCCACATAAAAATATATATTTTTTAAATACCCCACCCCACCCCTCCACTTGTCATGGCTTTACTATAAAATTACCAAATTCCCAGTAGTAAATTCCACTAGGGGGGAAAAGCTTTTTCAAAAACTACACAAAATGATTTTTGTCCTAACATTTTTTTTTTATCACATGCAACGAGACAGATTTTGAATTTTTACAAACAATTTAGACCAGCTACAGATCAAGTTTTCCTCTACTTTTACGCAAAATTGCGAATGGAAACTCTACTCGCCGCAATAAACTCATGCCAATCATACTCGTGCAGTCTGATATTTACCACCAGGATAATGCCGTTAGTCGTTGGGTACTTCGTGGAAATTGAGGGAAACCTGATCTGAGAGAGGGTGGAATCTTTTTCATGATGGCGGGTTAGAATAGTATTATTCATTGTTATTATTATTATTATTATTATTATTATTGTTGTTACTGTCATTATTATCATTATAAATTTTTGACGTGACTTGCTAATAACATTATTATTTAGATATTGAAAAAATAGCATGAAAACTCTTTTTTTCATCATATATTTCAAGCTACCGATATGGATTCAATATTTAAAGAATTTGTTCTTCTTTATTTATAAAAGAAAAAGGTATGTTTACAAAATAACAAAAATAAAAACGTTACTGGTTCCTGAGAGGTATTAACCATTAACAAACTAATTTAAATTGACCTTAATTTTTAATTCCCCTTATCTAACACATTAATTCATTTAATATCCCTGGATGGCTTTTGTAACTTTTTTAAAATCATACCCCCCCCCCCCCCCACACACAATTAAAAAAAACAGTTTAAAAACTTCCCCCTCCCTTGATGCCCTACTGTGAGTATAGGGTTGAGTTCGAATACTGCAATTCTCCTGCCTCAAGGCAGTCAGTAACCCAACTGTTCTAACAACATTTTGCCTTTGCAAATCAAATTAGTTTTTAATTCTCAAAATATAAAAATGCAAACTTTTGCCTTCAATATTTAGTCCTTTGATCTGAATGTTGATAAAAGGATTTAGGATGCAAGGATTATAAGATGATAATGATGATAAGTATAAAAAGTTGTAAAGTGTGAATGTTACAAATAAAAATAAACGATACTAGTCTTTTAAGTGTGCAGGTAAAAGTCTGCTTAAAGAGACTGTAGCGCTCTATACAAAGATGCAATTCCCCGACTATCAATGGTTCTCTTAAAAGTCTTGTCTGATCAACATCTTCCATATTATTGAACAAATTAATTGTACCGTTGTGAAACGGGTATTGCCATCTTTGCATGGAGGGATAGATTAAATAAAGCCTTCAATCCGTTTAAAAATAAATTTGTATGTCAAGAAGTAATTTATATATTCTATTCCTGCAATTGTAACAAAAGAGATTTGCTTAAAATTAATGAAGATTTTTGTTTTTATTTTTCCTCGTTGATTTTATAGCTCTTAAAATTGGAAAGGATAAGAACTCAACGTTTAAAAAATATGAAGAACACCAAAATATGTTAATACAGGGTTACCCACTAAGTATAAGACTTTAATTACAGCCTACATTTTTAAGAATAAAAAGTACCAAGGGTTGGACAAAAGATTATTAGTATATCAAATTAATTATCTACGGAGAACTGTCTCTGTAAGAATTAAGAATATTTTACAAGCGTCGCTGAAGTTTCATTCTTTGTGGTTAACCCTGCATTATGGTTGTATAATAAGGTTGGAGCTCCAATATCAAAGAAATGTCGTCTCCTTAGAATAGATAGATAAAATCCGACGTCACTCTTGTCTATATATTCAGAAAGGAACTGAGTTTTAGCCACAAATTCTGATTTCAAATCACTATATCTTTACAACCTGATGGTGTAAATCTTTGATATTTCAAACATTATTCAATCATTATTTGATCTAAAATAATTCATAGTTTGAAATATCTATGGTCTCCGACATTGAAATGCAAAGAGATAGGGATAAGAAAATCAAAGTTTGTGACAAAAACTCAATTCCTTTGTAAATTGGCGGTACAGTTAGCCATATGAAGGTTTTAGCTATCTATGCTTAGGAGACGACATTTACCATTCATTGGAGCGCATCGAGAGTAAGCAACCTTATTATACAACCTTGCCCTGTATATATTGTATAATCTAACCTGACTTGATTTACTTCCGGTGTACTGTTTGCCTGAAGTTTAGATACGAGTATTCTCACAATGTTCAACAAGAACAGGAAGTTTATCTAAAAAATTAAATATGTAATTCCATTTGTTCTCGCTGTTTCATTATATTCTAGATTTCTTCCAATGTTTTACATTATTCCTCTGGGACTATTCTTTAGGTGCAAACCAAAAACATATTTATTTTTATTAAATAGAGTGTTCACAAAAAAAGGGGGTACAGTCTGAGATCGAATTGAATTCGATATCGATGTCAACTACTTTTATTTCTATCTGTTACGTCTATACGTCAGATTTTAAATAATTCAATTGAATTTGAAACTAATCATTAACTTTTACAGTCTATAAATATGGAATTCAATTTGATTCATTCTTACATATTTGATATATTATAACATTTTTTTATGATTCGATTGTTACTTTAGAAAATATTCATTTCCGATATTTTGAGGATTTTTTTATAGCAAAGACGACATTTTAATAATTTCTAGGAATGTTCGAAATTCCAACGCCAGCCGTGAATATTAATTAAGAATGTGTATTCAGATTATTTGCATGGAGATCATGAGCTTGCAAATTTGATTTAAACTTCAAATTAATGAGATATGTGAAAAAAGTTGTTGTTATACAAATTTTCCCCTTTAATTTTAAATGTAAAATGGGAAATGTTCCGCAAAAAAATGTTATTGGGTCAAAAAAATCTTGTTTTTGAATACGAGGATTGTTTTGCTTCAATGTTTAACTTGAAAATATCTATTTGATGACCTCCTCTTAATTTTTCAAATAATTTACGGCTACCAAATTTAAGGAGTAAAATTTGGAGGTAAAATTACGTTCAGCTAATTTGATAATTTTGGTTTTATTTAATAAACTTCAAATCTGAACAAAATTCTGAATATCTTCGGTAATATTGTGGTTATTATTTCAATAATCATACAAATGCGGTGAAAGAATGTTGACGACTAAATATATCAAATAAGTTCAAAGATCAAAAAGAACTTTTAAGTTGTCTTGCTTCTTTCAACTGTCATCCTTTGTGGGACACCCTGTATAAGTCTGTGCTTTAGTTACCACTCACCAGATAGGCGGAGATCATTGGAACCGAGATAATCCAGAGATGAGCTGATCTTGCCCAACCAGACCAACAGGAATCAAGATGAGATAATCTGGAAATTCACAAATCAGGGCAGAGCCAATTGTCTGCAAGGATATATTTTGCCTAAGTGGGCTTAACTGGGCTTATCTTGGCTTAATTGGTCTTATCTGGACTTAACTGGGCTTATCTGGGCTTAACTGGGCTTAGCAGAGCTTAACAGGGCTTAACCGGGATTAATCGAACTTAACAGGGCTTAACCGGGCATAACCGGGCTTAACTGGGCTTATCTGGGCTTCTCTGGGCTTTACTAGGCTTAACAGGGCTTTACAGGGCTTAACAGGGCTTAACAGGGTTTAACCGGGCTTAACCAGGCTTAACTGAGCTAAATCCGACTTTAACCTGGCTTAACACCCGATTTAACACCAGGCTTAACAGTCTTAATCGCGCTTAACTGGGCTCAACCGGGCTTAACCAGGCTTAAAATACAACAAAACATTAAAAAAAGATGAAAATTTGATAAAAACCAATTTTACCTTACTTTACACTGTAGATTTTCTTCTTCCTAAAAGAAAAGATTAGTATTATTTGTCTTAATGTCGTCAGTCCCCAATGAGTTGTTAAAGTTTTTTTTCTCTTACAAATGATCAAACAAAGTCAGGCCCTTTTGAAAAAAAAACATTTTTTTATTTCTCTGATCGAATAATTCAATTTGTTGATTAATCGTTGGTTAATTTTACTGAACGACGCCATGGTTTTTGTTCTATTTGAAATATTACATTTTTTAACGGATACTTTCTCATCAAAAACTTATCTTAAGACAACTGATGAAAAATACATGTATAAACTGATTTACTTTCTTTCTTTAAACAAAAAACTGCTTACTTTTTTACACGTTTGTCTTTCCCTTTCGCACTTTTGACACTTTTGGCATTTTTGGAATTTTTGGCATTTTTGGCACTATATTAATCGTGGTTTTTTTTCTTTAATAGCACAATCAATTTGATTTTAAACCATTGAATTGTGTCCGGACATTTTAGCAGTTTAAATATTCATATTTTTCTTTTTAAAGAAATTGAATTTTTGCCACAAACTCTGATTTTATATTTCCCATATCTTTGAAACCTAATATCGTAGACCTTAGATATTTCAAACTATGTATGCAGTTAGATCAATTAATCTAAGTTTGAAATATCAAAGGTTTACGCCATTAGGTTTCAAAGATATAGAGTTTAACTGATTTGAGTTTGTGGCAAAGACTCAATTTCTTTGAATATTTATTCATTGAAGACAAATTATAAGTAAAATCTAGTTTAGAAAAAATATGATAGGTTTTTTAAAGGGAGTGTTCACGAAAAATGAAAGGGGTATAGGCTTACGGCGAAAAGTAAGCGCTTTTGATCGCTACTAATATTACTTCTATCTGTTGCGTCTATAAGGAAAAAATTGTTAAAAACGACTTATACCGAAGAACGTGGGGTCCATACAAATTCAGAAAGTTGCAACATTCAACTCGGATCTTAAAAAATCAATTTAATTCCAAACAAAGCATTCAGATATTACAACCAATATTCATCGACAATTTTTCGACGCATTCATTTATAGTTTATTTCATAATATTTCATAATATTTTTTATTTTTTATGATCTCATAGTTACTTTTGAAAACATTTATTCCTGTTTCGAGGATTTTTGATAATGATATCGACATTTTCATATTTTCCAGGAATGTTCGAAAATCCAGCGCCAGCGAAATATTATTTAAAAAACAAAATCAAAAGTATTATGAAATATTAACTTTTACGAATGCATCGAAAAATAATCGATGACAACTGTTTGCAACGCCTCAATGATTTGTTTGGAATTAAATTAATTATTTTACTATCCGAGTTGAATGTTGCAACTTTCCGAATTTGTATGGACGTTTATTTTATCGGTTTAATAACAATTGTTTATAGATTTGATAAAAACTCGAAAATGAAAAAAAAATATTCAAATATTTATATTAATATTGGTGACATGGAACTCCATCCTATCTGAAATAATTGTAACTTGTGTGTCCAATTAAAAGGCATGAAAGATATATTTTGAAGCGTTTATGAATAAAACAAAGTCTAAAATGATGAATTTAAAACATATTTTAAAAGAAAAATTTTGGATTTAAAACATATTTATAAGAAAAATTATCAATTTAAAACATATTTTAGAAGAAAAATGATGCAATAGAAAACTATTTTAGAAGAAAAATTAAGAATTTAAAACATATTTTAGAAGAAAAATGCTGAATTTAAAACATATCTTAGAAGAGAAATGATGAATTTAAAACATATTTTTAAAAATGTTGGATTTGAAGGATTTTCTATTATTTCTGAACCCTTTCTTATCTTTATCCGCTGCAGAGATTTAAAGTAAGTATATTAGAACCAAGGAAAATGTATAAGGAAAGATACAAGATTGTTTTTAAATAAAAATGCTATGGCATATGCTGGGGGGGAATAGAAACACGCTATTTGTTGTGGAAGAGCATCAACGAGGTTATTATAGTGCATGCCACGATAGCTTTATTAGAAATAAATATTTCCATTTACTGATAGCGCCTTATTTGATAATGAGATAGATGGAAAGATAGATGTTACCGCTATACTATTTCTATTGGTTCAGAATAGACAACAAACACATGACTGAACCCTGATTGGATCAGGCGCTAATGGACTCAGCATACAGGAGTGATGCAGTGTTTAGGACACAGCACAGTGAACAACAGTGAAACTATTTTATCGAAAAACATATCATTCAGTAGCAAACTAGAAGCAACATTTCTAAAAGATTTACACGGGAAAAAAATCAAAATTAATTTAGTAATTTACAATGTTAAACACCTTAAAAACATTTTACTTGATATCCATGGTATCAGAAGATGCGCCTTTACTCTTGAACCATTGAATACTGTCCATTTGTCCGTTTTTCGATATTTCAAAAATTGTTTTGTTTAGGGATAAAAAAAACATCTGTTTTTTTTACGAATAAGTATAATTCAGAACTCAATCTACAAATCGTAATTGGAACTTCCTTATAATATATATTTCTTGGCTAAAACTAAACACACTTTAGGAATACAAAGACAGGATAATCCAACCAAATTCATGCAAATAAAATATCCTTTTTTTCTCAACTCAGTAGAATTTCTAGTTTTACATTTCAATAATTGAATTTCTAAAATTTCAATATTTAAAGCTTGCTATTTATTGGTCAAGAGTTCCGGAACATTCTAACTTCTAAGGTTAAATGGAGTGACCGGCAGGCGGCAATGTATGTTAGTTGAACTGAGAATGTAGTATTGTGGAAAATTTTTTTATAGTTCCTTAAATGTATATAAAACGTTTTATTGATGTATATTTACTGAGTTTGAGCGCATAGTCGACGTTGAAAATCATCCATTTGGTTGGTTACGTTTTTATAATCGATTTGAAAGAATTATTAAATAGTGACGACATAAAATGTTAAAAAAATCTACAGTATACTTATTAGATGTTTAGGACCATGCTTCTCAGTTGAAATTTTCTCAATAAATCAATTATTTATTTTTCATCGTTATCTTGAGTTTTTTTTATTCTTTATGAATGTGTTCGCAGATTTCTTCAAATTCTTCAAATGTCATATTTTCAATAAAAATTCCGGGAAATCTACAGAAAATGTTTGTGAACAATGAGAATTGCAATATGAATATAATACTTTTTCATACTGTATGACATGACCAGAATTTCCACCAAAGGTATGTGGTCACGTGGATTCATCGAACATATTATATATATATTGTGTCCCAATAAACATGGGACATCAGTGACGAATTCAATATCGTATTTAAAATAATTCTTTGATTTAGTATTTAGATTTAGATTTCGTCCGCTATGTTTACAATTTGTTTGTTTATGATTTGACTATATCGGTTGTACTTAGTAAGAAAATTACAGTATACAAACAGAGTAAACTTGTCCGTCTTCACTGTTCATCTTGCGGAGACATTATAGACACATCTTTACAGCCATATATGATATACAGTTTGCATAAAATAAACTCTAGCAGACATTAATATTATGGCTTTTGAAATTAGGTATTACAATGCTAATTCATAGCAAAGACGATATTGAATACGTCACTCGCCCTGTATATGAGTTTTGATATAATTCAGACACAGTTTTATATGAACTTTACGAGACAAGGCCATCAGATAAAATTATTATTGGTGGCGATCAATGCCTAAACTTTCTAGGCTTTAGCCTATACCCATTTCATTTTACCTTAACATTTTCTTTAAGGTATAACAGTATATTTCAGGTCTTAAAAAATGTCAAAAAAAAAACTTGTTTTTACAGAAAGTTAAAATCTACCTGCAACAAGTACCCCCACCAAGCTACCCAGAAAACTGGCAGTCCTGAAAAAGTTCATTAAAGGATATGAAAGCATAATTTTAAGTGACCCTAAATTGATAGAGAGGCATGTCCGATTTACAGCGGGTACCTTAGAGGATTGTCTAATCAAGTATCAAGTCCATGTTTAATGCAATACTGTGTATTTTTATTTGTGGTGTATTTTGAAAAGTTGACTTGCGAATTTTTCCTTTCAGAGAAATAAGGGAGAAACTATCAGAATTAAACATTAAACATCTTCCACATTTTCCACATTTTTAACCAAATTAAGGTTTCAAGAACACCGCTGTTAATCGGACATACCCCTCTTTACCTTGATGGTCAATTAAATATACGAGGTAATTCCCTTTAAAGGAACTGTTTTAACAAGGCCTATAGAGTGGAAACAACAATTAAAAACTGCTTGTGTTGGTGCTTGGTTGTTTATGTCCCAAAAACCTGGCTTGAATTTTTTGTAGTACCTCATGTGATAACAGAAATGGGTTACGGCCCTTTTAAATAAAAAAGAAATCTGAAATTCAGCCAAAAAACAGACAAATCTGTGACATTTTTCATTTTTTTATGTTACATAAGGCAAAGCTAATCTATAAAGTAATTGTAAGCATAATTTCAAGTAACCCTCCAAAGAGGGGGAATGACCAATTTACAACGACACCCTTTAAACCTATCACTGATTTTATGGACCTCCGTGTCGGTATTTCTCTTCAAATATAGGCTCATTTGAAATTATATATACCGTCCTTTTAAAGAGCAACCATATGTTCATTTTTATCTCAAGCAAAAATTGATGAGAATATTGTCAATTACTTTTTCAAGAAGTCCTATAAAGTGCCAAAAAGCATAAGCGATTTATAGCCGTAAAATCAAAGCCCAAGGCTTTGCGCTGCGACACTCCAAAGTCGACCCTGTCTTTAAAACTAATGAGACTTTTTATAAACAGGGTGAAGCTTTGTCATCTACCCTTTGAAAGCTTGTAAAGGGAACAAATAAGGGGGGGTGAGGGGGGGTAAGGAGAATCTTGAATAAGAAAAGCCATACTTCTAGTTTTTCTTACAGTGCTGTAATATTTATAATATTTATTGGAACATAAACATTAAACATGGAGATATGGAGGGTCAAATAGAGAAAAGCAGTTTTATTTTATCTTCTAATTTTAGATGAGACAGTTGATAGATTCTGTGATAAAATAGAAGGGAAGGAAGTAATTGTATTATAGGGGGGAAAAGAAAGAAAAAGGATTACACAACTCACCATTTTCTTCTTGACTTTTCAAATTTACTTTAAAAACTTATTTTCTTCTCTCGAGGCAAAATCAATCTTCATTACATTATAAAAAAAATAGAATAGGAGTTTATCCATAGAGATGGGCATCTTTTTTTGTGAACGAGCAAAATTTTAGAGAATGAAATATTTCGTTTAAAATGCCGTCATTCAGAAGAAGAAAAAATCGAACCACAGACAAAAAACTTGCATCGTTCAGAGAAATGAAAAACAATCGTTTTTTTTAAAAACGACCGAAAAAAATACAAAAACTGTATCCCAAAAAAACTTGAAAAACGATAGTTATTTACTAAACAAACAAATTTTTCGACAAACTTTTTAAAAAAGCAATATTTTTACTATAAGTCCGATTTTTATTCAACGATTTTTCAGTGAGAAAACGAATAAAATAGAGGGAAAATTAAGATAATTTTGCTTACGAACAAAATAATTTTATTTGAACGATAGAAAAAGATGAAAATAGAGATTTTCTATAGAAATTTGTTTCTAAAACTTCTGACCTCTGATCAATTTAATTTGGTTTAATCAAGAAGGGTGGTGCACTTTTGGAGATTGTCCTTGGAAAAAGATCCCTCCTCCGAGCGGGGGAAGGCAGGCGGCCATGAGCCAGAACTATTTCCCCTTCCGTGCCACATATTAGCTTTTTTCTCTTCCAGCAGCGTCACGCAAAAAAGCACAACTCAAACCATTTTTTCAATTCTACTTCAGATTAATATTTTGTGTGTTGAATTCGTAAACTTTTTTACAATGAAATTTTTGACAAATTTGACTGAGTATTGCATCTTGAAATATCGCAGAGTCTAATGATTATTGGTTAATGAGTGATTTTAAGATGGATTTAGTATAATGAGTCAGTAATTAAATAATCATTAGACTTTGTGATATGGAAGGGGAAATAGTGGTGGCTCATGGCTGCGGGAAGAGAAAAAAGGTAAAATGTGGGGCGGAAGGGGAAATAGTGATGGCTCATGGCCGCCTGCCTTCCCCCGCTCCTCCTCCTGCTTTACCCCCCCCCCCATGGGCATATTTCTAATTTAAGGCTCGCTAATCAATTTTGTAAATAGAAAGGTCTTTCTGCATAAAGTTATAGAGGAAATCATTAAAAAGAATTCTAGTGAATGGAAAGGGTTAAAGGTATAAATGTATGACAGAAGGATATTATTCTTTATCTTCTGTTGTGCCCTTAAATCTAATAAACCAATGAAAATGGTTGAGTAGAGTTTAGTAGAAAATATCAAATAGTTGAAGACTGTAGAGTAGAGACATGTCAAATAAAAAGGATAAGAACCTTGACTAGAATTCCATCACAAAAATCAGACTAGTTTCCTTGAGTTAATTTCTATCAGAGAAATCAGACTATTTTTTACTAAACTAGGCTTTTAGGCCGCATCACGCCAAATTCCCCAGGAGCTTCTAGCTTTCATTTGTTACTGTCCATGCCATCGCGTCTTGCTCTACATCATAAAACTAAATTTTTCGCATATTTTCCTGTTTATTTTGGTGGAGGGGGGGGGGGGTAACAAAAAGATTTTTTAAAAATTTTGACTAGCTTTGTACCTATATAAATTAAGATTGATTCACGTTAGCCCCGATCGAACAATAATATTTTAAATTTTTAACAGAATGATCTTACTGAAACTGAAAGTCTTCCTTAAAAAAAGAAACAACAACGCTAAAATCAAGAATGTGCTCAGTCCTATTTCTGATGAAGCCTGAACAAAAAAGAACTAATGAATTAAAGTTGGTAAATAATTAGGTATGGTATAAAGAGATCTAATCACATCTTGCTCAGTGCATCTTGCTCAGTGGGTGTCTCTTTCGGATTGAGTTATCCTAAGCCTATCTTATTTACAGTGATAACAAGAAAACTTTGAAATTCTAAGACGACCCTTAGAATCAAATTATATTGCTTAAAATAGTGTCTTGTAAAACTTTGTCACTGTCAGTTATTATTGTTTCATAGCCCCACTTCCCATCTGTAAATTATGCCCTTAAAAAGGAATTATTTTTTTTATAAAATATAACATATAAATAAAATATAAATGAAATGTTTGATGAGGAAAAATGTTAAAACCTCTTAAAATTGAGTTTGTGAGGAAATGCTAAAGAAAGGAAAGAACAAGAAAAGTAACATATTTGTCTTGAAAAATTATCTTGGAAAAACTTTATCATGAAAGCCATTATTTTTTTATTTTAGGTCCGTAACACAATAACTAAAAAAAACATTTAAACAGTTATTTACAGCTATTCTTTAATTACCTGCAAACTCTGTTCTCAAATATGAGGGAATTTTATAAATTTCAAAATATTGTTTTTCAGTTTGAACTTTGAAATCGTTGTGTTGATACAAAAATTACTTTCATCTTACCAGTTTTGATATTTTGAGAACGAAAACATTTCTTTTTTCAGAAATCATGACTTTAGTAAAAGAGAAAAGAAAATACAAGCGAGAAGAGAAAAAAGTATAAAATGATAAATTGTTTTAAAGAAATGATCTGTTACAGTTTTAATTACGCTTCTCTCTTATTCACAAACTGATTTAAACATTGTTAAAAATGATTGTTTTTTTTGCAAACCTATTTTTCTCTAAAAAGGGAACGAAAAATTTAACTTAAGTTTAAAAAGAAAAAATTGAAAAAAACTGATACACTGTTGGGACCTTTTCAAAAATTACAATCTAATTGCTTATTTATGTTCTGAACAGATAAGTTTAAAAGTCCCCCTCTCCCGTACTAAAAACTGATATTAAACTGAGATTTATTATCAAATATATTACACTTTTTTGCAACACATGATATAAATTAACCATAAATACACAAAATACACAGGAATATTGAGATTATAAACTTTTAAGGTGGAAATTTTTTTTGGTGGAATTTCGTTAACATCTCCTTTACCCCAAATACCCTGGAAATTGCAACATTTTAAAAAAAACCTCACTGTGTATTCAAGAAAAGTTTGCATTTTTCTTTAAATTCATTTTGTACAATTTTCAATTTTTAGTGAATTTACATTTAAAAATAAAAATTTTGATTTTTGAAAAAGAAAATTCGATAAAATTTTTTGATTTTTTTAAGCTTACCCCAGAGAGGGGGGTCCCATGGGTATCCAAAAAAAGGTAAGCCCATTATATACATATATATATTTTCTTAAAATAAGTCTAGAACATGTTCTATTGTTTATTAACCCATTAGTGACGAGACCATTAACTTTTTAAGATAGGTTATCATGTTGGATATTCTTCAGCAGCATATATTTATATATAAATACAAATATACAAATATAATAAACAATTATACAAATATTATATACAAATATACAAATATATACTGAATAAAATGTTATAAAAAGATTGTTGCTTTTCACTGATAATAATATACAGATATATACATAATAATATATATATGAGCGAAGAGCTTTATTATATACAGGGATTTTCGGGACTAATCAAAAAATTTAAGAAGAATGAATTATTTTGAAAAATTAAATAAGGGTAATGTAAGAATTTTCTTGCGGAAAATACTGGTTTGTTATGGTTTTATTTTGGCGTTAAAGCTTGGAGATAATCTATTATGATATGGGAAGCTCTATATAAGTATATCTCCTTGAATTTTTCTGGTTTAAAGAATGCTTATCAAGGCGTATGGAATATAAGGATCATGGGAATGACCCGGCTTGCCCTACCATATGATTAAACATGCTTTGCAGACGGTACTCCATTTGAAAAAGAGTCTTTTAATTTTCTAATTTTTTATATTTAGTTTTTACTACACCATATTAAATAAAACCGATTCTTTATATTAAAATAAAAAATATGTTTGTATTGCCAATATTTTTGCATCCCAAAAAATGTGTAATTCAGTCTACTTTTTTTCACTGTTTAATGTATACAATAACCTATTCTGAATACATGTAGACCTGCAAATATTTCATATGGTAGGGTAGGCCGCGTCATGTCTTATATTCCATAGTCATTCATGCTTACCCCATCCTATAAAGTTGAAGAGAAGAACGGGAGCATCTGAATTAAAGATCTGAACTGTTATCCTAGAGTGTAGGTAGAACCCTTCATTAAACATCCTAGATACAAACATCTGAATTAAACATCCTAGATACAACATCCTAGATACAAACATCTGAATTAAACATCCTAGATACAAGCATCTGAATTAAGCATCCTAGATACAAGCATCTGAATTTAACATCCTAGATATAAGCATCTGAATTAAACATCCTAGATACAAACATTTAAATTAAACATCCTAGATACAAACATCTGAATTAAACATCCTAGATACAAGCATCTGAATTAAACATCTGAATTAAGCATCCTAGATACAAGTATCTAAATTAAGCATCCAAGCATCTGAGTTAAAGATCTGAGCTGGGAACTTTATAATGGGACACCTTTAATCCCGACTACTCAATCCGAATATCCAATGTGGAGACTTTTAATTTCTCTTTTGGATAAAGTGCAGAAAAATCAAAAACCGTTTCTGTATATTATTCTTAAATGGCGCGCACAAGTGCAAGATTAGGTTAGTCTCGCGATTAAGAAAAAGAAAGGATCAAGCATTGATCTCGATATACACCATTCTAAAGTTCACAGCTCTGAACTATTATCCTAGAATGAAAGTAGATCTGGAGATGGGCGCATTCGGCTTTTTTCATTTCGTTCGTTCATTGTTCGTGAACGATCCAATTCGTCCGTTTTTTTCCATCATTCAAAAACATTTGATTTCGTTTTTTCTCAAAATTATCGTTTATTTTCCATTTATTTCGTTCATTTCTCCACTGAGCAATCGTTCAGTAAAATGGTTTGTTCCTTAAAATCGTTTATTCAGTAAATAACTATAGTTTTTTTTCAAAAGATTGTCCGAAAAAATCGTTTGTTCAGTAAAAAAAAACAGTAGTTTTTTTTAAAGTTTGTTAAACATTTGTTAAACAAAGTTCGTTCAAAGAATTTTAAATAATTCGTTTTTTTCATTTCTCTCGTTTGTCCATATTCGTTTTGTTCTAAACGAACTTATCGTTCACGAAAAATTTCGTTAGTTCTCAATAATGTTGTTCTTTCACAAACAATAACTTTGTCCATCTCCAGGTAGAGCCCTTCATAGAACATCCTAGATACATCTGAGAGAGATATCTTTACTTAGAAATTGTTAAAAAGTTTGAATTTCCCATAAACTTTGTTTCTTTTGAACAAAGCAAGTCTCTGGGATTGACATAAAGCTAAGCAGATAAGGGGTTATCCACAACAGAGGAGACTCTATTAACGACCTGAATTGCTTAACATTCCGCCTTTTAAAGTCTTTTAAATGTTCACTGAAGGGTGGCCATGATTAAGAATATCGCAAGTAAATTGATTTAGATAATATTTGAATGGAAGAAAAAAGTTGCTGTCGTCTTTAATGACTCATCTTTAATATATAAGCGTGTGTTTTAAAACATTTCAAAGAAATTGAGTCTTTGCATAATCTCCGATATCTGAAGCAACCCAATGACGTAGTCCTTAGATATTATAAACTATGAATACTGTTAGATCAAATGATCTAAGTTTAAAATATCAAAGGTTTAAACCATCAGTTTGCAAAGATATAGGGATTAGAAAATTTGAGTTTGTGTCAAAGACTCAATTGGTTTACTGTGTTTATCTTACCAGTTAGTCGAGGCCATCTGACTGTAAACCTGTACAAGTAGGATAGATTTACACAACCAAGGCTAAAAAAAGAAAAAAATTAATTGCCATGTAAACCTTTGAAGAAAAAACTCCCGGAATACAAATAAAGAAGAGAAAATACAAAATTTTGATTGAACAAACTCCAAAAATGTTTTTCAATTAAATAGATAAATACATGTTTACATTTACATTCTTTTAGCTTCAGGCTGCAAAGGAGCTGGGCGCTGCCGCTAAAATTTGAACTGAGTTTGTCTTTTAAGAAGTTGGAATTTTTCTGGGATTTTCTTTCCGGAGTTATGGCTTTATTAGGTTTTTTTCAGTAATTTTCTTTTCAAAAGTTTGTTTTTAAGAAGCGCGCTTTTGAAAAGTTTTTCTTTTCAGAGCCCGCGATTTAAAAAATTTGGGAAAATACGGCTCGGGTCTAAGCTGTCGTTGGACCTTATTTACGGCTTGAGCTTTCGGATTCAAGCTGCATCTTATTTTCCACAGAGTTGAGTTAAAAAACCGGCTTAATTTTCTATTTAACGGATTTTCATGGTAGGAATTGGCGCATCCCAGGTTTTTATGAGAACAAGACTCAACATTGACCCTTATTCTTCACTAAAACCAACCAAGGTCGGCTTTATTGTCATTGGGCCTAACTCCTTAAGTTGAGCCGAAGGAATTACGACTCGAGCCGAAGTTTTTAAATCGTGGGCTCAGGAGTATATTTCACATGGGAGCTTTTATAATATCACTACTTGGCCATTTTAGGTTGGCAGATTAAAGCTATTATACTTACAAGCTGTCTATAGTCCGGGCCTGCTGTTCTGTTGGTTATATATGGTTCCAGGTAAATGATGATAAAGCTATAGAATAGAATCATGCTGACCATTAAGTTCTTGTGGACTGTTAGCCGAGGGCATTGAAGAGACCTAGATATATAATTATTAAACATATGAACAGCATCATGCTGACCATTAAGTTCTTGTGGACTGTTAGCCGAGGGCATTGAAGAGACCTAGAAATATAATCATTAAACATAGAACAGCATCATGCTAACCATCAAGTTCTGGTGGACTGTTAGCCGAGGGCATTGAATAGACCTAGATATATAATTATTAAACATATGAACAGCATCATGCTGACCATTAAGTTCTTGTGGACTGTTAGCCGAGGGCATTGAAGAGACCTAGAAATATAATCATTAAACATAGAACAGCATCATGCTAACCATCAAGTTCTTGTGGACTGTTAGTTGAGGACATTGAAGAGACCTAGATATATAATCATTAAACATTGAACAGCATCATGCTGACCATCAAGTTCTGGTGGACTGTTACCCGAGGGCATTGAAGACACCTAGATAAATAATCATTAAACATAGAACAGCATCATGCTAACCATCAAGTTCTGGTGGACTGTTAGCCGAGGACATTGAAGAGACCTAGATATATAATCATTAAACATATGAACAGCATCATGCTGACCATTAAGGTCTTGTGGACTGTTAGCCGAGGGCATTGAAGAGTCCTAGATATATAATCATTAAACATAGAAGAGAATCATGTTAACCATCAAGTTCTGGTGGACTGTTAGCCGAGGGCATTGAAGAGACCTAGAAATATAATCTTTAAACATAGAACAGAATCATGCTGACCATTAAGTTCTTGTGGTCTGTTAGCCGAGGGAATTGGAGAGACCTAGATATATAATCATTAAACATAGAACAGCATCATGCTGACCATTAAGTTCTTTTTAAAATTATAAATGCTTATGTAAACCATAAACCTTACTAAATAAAGATATCTAAATGTTTTAAAAAGCTGCTTAAGCTTTTAATAAATCTTCTCTTCCTTGATAGATGTTTGTGTATTTCCTAAACTAAACAATAATTATAAAATAGAACCAAATCATTGGAGAACTGTAAATCTATTATTGATTGTTTTAGATTTAATTATTGAACCTTTACTTTAGAATTGATTATAGAAACAATGAAAATCTTTTAGAACATTTCCATTTACTCATTGTCAGTCGTGGACCGTTAAACTCCAACCAATTACTCAAATTAAGTATTTAAATTAAAAAAGAAGTATTCAGTAAATCTGAAGAAGAGAGAAAGCTATTTCATCAATCAGATTAATGCTTAATGTTAGAGCTGGTCACTTTCTGAATTTGTTCTAGCCGTTCTAAACGATAAGTTAAAATCTTTTTGAAAAATTTCAGACAGCTGCTCTTTTTTTAGCTTACATCGGAACGTTCGTTTTGTTAACATTATTCTCCGTTTTTTAAAGCTACCATTTGTTAACGATCTCAATATTATTAACAGCGTTAACGGCAAATATTTTAGAAATTGTGAACAATGCCAGCAGTTAACAAACCGTTAACGATTATTTTATTTATATCATCAAAATGAACAAAATTTTATAATTTAATCTTCAAAATGTACTCGAAATGTACTCATTCCCATATTCTAGATTTTCAACAAAAAAAATCAAACATCACTTTCAAAACCCTTCCCCGCCTACCTTGCTATATAAAAATATATAAATGCAGTTTTTTATAATGTTTCTTGTTAGGTTTTTGTTTTTGTCCTATTTTATTCACTTTAAACATGAATTATCAGTAAATAAAAATGCTTGATTTTAAAGAAAAAGGAATTGAGTCTTTGTAACAAACTCTGATTTTCTAATGCCTATATTTGTTCCACCTGATGGTGTAAACCTTTGATATTTGAGACTTAGATTCTTTCATGCAACATAATTCATAGTTTGAAATATCTTCGGGTTGCAAAGATATAGAGATAGAAAATCATAGTTTGTGACAAAGACTCAATTCCTTTGCAATACATTTTTTAAAATTCTCTAGATTAGTATTCTAACAACATCCATTTGAAAAGCTATGTCAATTTCGCCACAGTTAAAAGAACGGTAAGACGAAGAACTAAAATCGATTGAAAAAAGTAGTATTGAATTTGATTGTTTCTATTCATAATTTTGATGGTTAGCCTGATTAAATTGGAACAAACTTTGATTGGATCTTGTTAAGCTTCTAACTTTCAAAAGGGAAAATTTCAAAAGAAAGTTCATTAAAAGGGATAAGTTTACAAAAATATAATTCTATGTTTTAATTATACATTTATAAGAAAATAATATAATAAAAGGAATATTATTGTTGTTAACTAAAAGGGGCACTAAAAATTAAAGGGACTGTAAGCGTAATTTTAAGTGACCCACCGCACAAAGGCAACCATATCTGATTCACCCATTAAAGGGACTGTAAGCGTAATTTCAAGTGACCCACCGCACAAAGGCAACAATATCTGATTCACCCATTAAAGGGACTGTGAGCGTAATTTCAAGTGACCCACCGCACAAAGGCAACAATATCTGATTCACCCATTAAGGGGACTGTGAGCGTAATTTCAAGTTGACCCTCGGGACAAAGACAACAATATCTGATTCACCCATTAAAGGGACTGTGAGCGTAATTTCAAGTTGACCCTCCGGAAAAAGACAACAATATCTGATTCACCCATTAAAGGGACTGTGAGCGTAATTTCAAGTTGACCCTCCGCACAAAGACAACAATATCTGATTCACCCATTAAAGGGACTGTAAGCGTAATTTCAAGTTGACCCTCCGCACAAAGATTGCAATATCTGATTCACCCATTAAAGGGACTGTAAGCGTAATTTCAAGTTGACCCTCCGCACAAAGATTGCAATATCTGATTCTTTAAAGAAGCATTATCTGATAAATTATCAATTAGACATTAAAGTTTTTAACTTTGAAAACTGATAATTTTCAATGGTGGGTTCTCACATTTTCATTACAGGAAAACATGAAGGAATTTTCTGAATTAAACACTTCTGAACATAAAGTGACATCATTAATCAGATTAATCTCAAGGGTATCGTTATGAATCAGGCATTGCTCTCTTTAGAAATTTCACTTAAAGTCCCTTAAAGAATATTTTCAACACTTGCACTTCCCAGTATAGTTTTATAATGTGGATATTACAGTTATTTACAACTGATACAAATATAGAAGAAACTATATAGAAAGTTTCCAAAAATTGAATTGTTTCTGCCAGATTGTAAACTTTCTCCCAGAGCAGACCACTTTTCCTAGTGCCCCTAGATAGAGATGGGCGCGTTCACCTTTTTTATTTAGATCATTTATCGTTCGTGAACAACCCATTTCGTTCGTCATGTTTTCAATCATTGTTGTCAAAATTTTTAGTAAATTTCAATCTATTTTTCACTGAAAAGTAAAATTGTTTGTTCAAGAAAATAGTTTGCTTGCTAAAAAACTACAGTTTTTTTTATTTGTTCAAAATATCATTTCTTCAGAAAAAAAAAGAAATCTTTCAGAAAATTTGTAGGTTCAGTAAAAAACTATTAAAATCTGTCGGTTTTTTTTCGTTCAACTTTTCATTTTTTCTAAACGATCCATCGTTCACGAAAAAATGTGTTCGTTCACAAAAATGATGCCCATCTCTACCCATGGATACCTTTTGGCGGCTAGAAGTTTGACCCTTATCAGTGTTGTCCTTTAGCATTAATTAAAGATGGTGAGAATTTATATACTTTGATATTACAATTTGATGATGTTTCTTTTCTGACTTATCTTGTTCTAACATCTATAGATGTATACTTTGCTTGTCTGGGTGGGTGTTTGTCTGTTTGTCTATTAATAAAACAAGACATTCGTATATATTTATGTTGCCTATAGCTGGTTAAACCAATTGGGATGAATTTTTTTGTGGACACTCGAATTCGAAAATAAAAAAAAATTATTTCCAATTTATTTCCAATAAACGTCAAAACAGCCAAACCGATCGGGCCAAAATTTTTTGTGGGCCCTCGCGTGACCCCAGGGAAGGTTTATGGATGATTAGATTTTTAAAAATTTGCCTCCAAACAAAATTCGATTTTTGAAAATTTTGAAATTCCAAGAAAATTTCTTTCTAAAATCAGTGAAATTTTGGTTTGTTTTGTTCTACAATGTATAAAAAGAGAACATGTTCGCTATTGAAATAGAAGATAGGCGCGGAGCGCCCTTAAAGCCTTGTAAAGGATAGAATTATGATGATGGGGCAGATAAGCTCAATTCTAAATCTAAACTTGAAACATCATCTTTTTTTAGGTTGTCATTATTAGAAACTCTACAAAACAAACATGACAATGTTGAAAGTTTTTTCCTTAAACACAATTTCCTGAAGAAAGAAACTGAGTTTTTGCCCCAAACTCTGATATTGTAATCTTTTCATCTTTAAAACCTTAGATTTTTCAAACTATTAATCCTGTTAAATCAAATAACCTAAGCTTGAAATATCACGTAAGCTTACAACATCAGGATGCAAAGAAATAGTGATTAGAAAATTTAAGTTTGGGGCAAACACACAAAAATCCATATAAAAAAGCTCTTTGCTCATATACATATATCTATACGTTAGATATCACTTGTCAACTGGGCCAATGGGCTGACATTTTTATAGGAAACCCATGGGTATTTAGGGGATAATATAGGCTAAAATAAATTCAAAACTTAAAAAAAATCTGCGTAAAAGTTTTTTTAAAATTCAATTTTTTATCTTAATGGTTAACTTTGATCTCTGTTAAATTTTCCTTTCCTATATATTTCTTCAGGGTAAATGGAAGTTTTATTGAACCTTGAAATTGAAGGCTTTGCTCCTGTCAAATATTTTCAAAAATCAATCTAAAATTAAATTAAATTTGAGTAAAAAATCAATTATTTACGTTGACAATATTAGTTCTGAAAACATGCAGCATAATTTATCGTATTTCTAGCAATTTTAGTTTTTGAACAGTTTTTAGCATAAAAATTAATTTCAATAAACATTTATTTTGTAGATATTAAAGTTGCGTTCAAGGTCTTTTCAAAAAGGTATTAAATGCAATGAATTAGTATCTAAAAAAGGAAAGAGAGGAAGGAGTTACCTCCCCTCCCCCTATAGATGTAAATAGCCCCAAAATCAAAATTTGGGTTATATGTCATTTTTTCCATGCGTCTGTGCGCCTTCCAAAATTAAATAAAACAAGTTCAATTTCAGTCACATCTTTCATCTTTGTTAAAAAGTTTGACTTCAATTGAAAAATATCATTTTATTTAGCAAAAACGTGCGTTCTTGCGCCGCGCAAGAACGCATGAAAATGAAACTTGAAAAAAAATTGGATAATGTGTGTCATTTCCTTGCGCCTGTGCGTTTCCAGTCACATCACCAATACCCCCTCCCCAGGGTTTTCTTGGCAAACGTCAGTATAGAAATAGGTTTAATTGAATAAGATAAGATACCATTTTGTTAACGTTAGATTTGATATTAAAATTTGAGATAAAACTATAACTGTTAGTTTACATTTTTACCTTAGAATTAAGCGACATAATCTTTTTTATTGCACCAATAAGGTCAGTAATTATTTGTCTCAAATTCAAGTTTCATTCATTCATTCATTCATTCGATAGTTTCATTCATTCATCCTTTCATTCATCCTTCCTTTCACCTATACTATAGTTTCATTCATTTTTTATTTTGTTATTTTTCCAAGTTAGTTAATCTCTTAATTTTTTAAAAAAGTTTATTCGAGTTCCAGAATAAAATCTTTCTCTGGTACAAAACCCCGGCAGAAAGTTTTCATCAAACAATGCAAAAATGTCAATCTATCTGAACCTAACACTTCTGTTGGCTCATTCTCTCGCATAAAGAAATTCTAACAAGATAATCTATTGATAAAATGAGAGGGAGGGGGGGGGGGGGATAAAATTGGCATATTTTGATAGAATGTAGAAATTGAATGCCTTGAAAAACTTTTTAAAATGTATGACGACACCTTGACCTAATACAAACTAACTATAATGGAAAAATAAAATGGGAGGAGGGGATGGTGAAATTCGAACCCTTCTTTTGAAATAAATAGTTCATTACGAAAATGAATTATGTTTACAATTACGAAGAAAAATTGGTGACTTGAAAAGCAAGATATAAAGGATAAAATTGTTACTAGACTCGAAGCACCCCATCAGCCTGATAGCGTACAAATGAAACTAAGAATTGGGAAAATACAGGACCATAAAGTAGAAATTACAAAGTGCAGTGCAAAATAACAAGTTATAGCTTTGCAACCAATAAAACAAGATACAGCTTTGCAACCAATTAAACAAGATTCAGCTTTGCAACCAATAAAACAAGATTCAGCTTTGCAACCAATAAAACAAGATACGGCTTTGTAACCAATAAAACAAGATACAGCTTTGCAACCAATAAAACAAGATAGGGCTTTGTAACCAAAAAAAACAAGATACAGCTTTGCAACCAATAAAACAAGATACGGCTTTGTAACCAATAAAACAAGATACAGCTTTGCAACCAATAAAACATGATACAGATTTGCAGCCAACTAAAACATGATACAGCTTTGCAACCACGGCTTTGTAACCAATAAAACAAGATACAGCTTTGCAACCAATAAAACAAGATACGGCTTTGTAACCAATAAAACAAGATACAGCTTTGCAACCAGTTAAACATGATACAGATTTGCAGCCAACTAAATCTGATACAGCTTTGCAACCAATTTAACAAGTTACAGCTTTGCAACCAATTAAACAAAATACAGCTTAGCAACCAATTGGACAACCAACTACAACAAAATAGAGTTTTGCAACCAACTTAATTAGAATTAGATCAAGATACGAACAAATTACAGGTTTGCAAGCATATAGAATAAAATAACCTTTAAAATAAACTAGAACAAGAAAAATCGGTGCGACCAACTTAGTCATAATAAGCTTTGCAACCAACAAAAACAAGATACAATTCTGCAACTAAACAAGATGCAGCTTTGCAACCAACTTAAATAAGAGCAACCATCTAACAGAAAAGAACAAAACAAGAAATATTTTTGCAACCAACAAAATACTACTCCAACAACAAGATGCAGTTTTGGAAAACTTTAACCAGAACAAGATACAAAAAATACAGGTTTGCAACCAATTGAACAAGATCAGCTTGGCAACAATAGCTAAATCAAGAAATAGCCTTGCAACCAACAAAATCATGAGATACAGCTTTACAACCAACTAGAGAAAGAAACAGCTTTAAAACCATAAAAGAAATAGCCAAAACTTTGTATCTACTTAGAAAAGGAAACAGCTTTTACCCTATTGGAAAAAGAAACAGCTTTACAATCAACTTAAATTTGAATTTAAAATTTAATCTCATGAGCATAATTTTAAAAACACGTTCAGTTTTCTTATCTATAAAGAATAATAAAAATAAAAGATTTAACCTGAACGTGAAGAAAATATAGAGGCAGAGAAGGAGAAGGATTAAAGATACTGTGGACAAACTGAAATAAAAACAAATAGGTACACGTGCACTGTGTATTGTGTACTGTGTACTGTGTACTGTGTACTGTGTACTGTGTACTGTGTACTGTATACTGTGTACTGTGTACTATGTACTGTGTACTGTGTTCTGTGTACTGTGTACTATGTACTATGTACTATGTACTGTGTACTGTGTACTGTGTACTGTGTACTGTGTACAGTGTACTGTGTACTGTGTTCTGTGTACTGTGTACTGTGTACTGTGTACTGTGTACCGTGTATTGTGTATTGTGTACTGTGTACTGTGTACTGTGTATTGTGTACTGTGTACTGTGTACTGTGTACTGTGTACTGTGTACTGTGTACTGTGTACTGTGTACTGTGTATTGTGTACTGTGTATGTGTACTGTGTACTGTGTACTGTGTACTGTGTACTGTGTACTGTGTACTGTGTACTGTGTACTGGGTACTGTGTACTGTGTACTGTGTACTGTGTACTGTGTACTGTGTACTGTGTACTGTGTTCTGTGTAATGTGTACTGTGTACTGTGTACTGTGTACTGTGTACTGTGTACTGTGTACTGTGTACTGTGTACTGTGTACTGTGTACTGTGTACTGTCTACTGTGTAATGTGTACTGTGTACTGTGTAATGTGTAATGTGTACTGTGTACTGTGTACTGTGTACTGTGTACTGTGTACTGTGAACACGTAGGTAGAGATGGGTATTTTGTGAACGAACGAAATATTGGAGAACAAACTAAACTAAATTTTTTGTGATTGATGGTGTTGCTCATAAAAAAAAACGAACAAAGGACAAACAGCTTGAATTGTTTAGAGAAATGAAAAAACTTTTGTGTTTTTAAAAACAAAACGAACAAAAAATTTATGTATTTTTTGTACGAATATATGTAATCGTTCGAAAAATCTTGATCATAAATGTCTTTTAGGAGGTACGCGGATATAATTATTGACAATTGTCAGAAAGCAAAGTATCCATGCTCATGTTTAATCATGAAGAAAAAACAATTGGCTGTTTTTAAGAATAAGCTATTAGCTATTAATCGACCACTCAACACTACCTTTCAGGAAAATTTGAAGAAGAAAAATACGTTTTCAAACTTGTGTTAATATTTGTAATCAACAAGTAAAAAGAATTTTTGCTGTTTAGAAACTTGACTCCAAAGTTAAGTTAATATTTTAAAATTATGTTGCAACTCATGGTATTTATCAAGAAAGCCCCTTATATATCATTGTTGCTTTTGCTTCTATACATACAGAACTAACTTTATACAGTGAAACCCTTAATAACGAAGACATCGAAAGAATTCATCAAATGTCGTATTCTTCACTTTCTGATAATGGAATGTTGCAGATATTTAGTTTTTTAATTAAATGATTATATGGAACTCTATAAAACTGTTCCCGCATATTCATGGCTATTTATTTATTTTCGCAAATACTGAAATTTACGTAATCTAGTAAAAAACTCATTGAAAAATTGTCAAGACGACATTTGATAAATTCTTCCGATGTATTCATCATTAAAGGTTTTGCTGTATTAAACCCTGTAATTCCTCAATCTAAATTTACTTACCACTCAGATTTAACAAGCGGAGATTTATGACATGTTTTTTAATTCATTTTTACAAATTAATTTGGTCACTTAAAAAAACTTTTCCTGAAGCTGTTAATAATGATAAACCAAAACCAATTACTTTTATTATAAGCGAAACAAATTCTAATTTTCTAATCTCTATATTTCTGGAACCCGATGTTTTTTCAAGCAGTGAAATCTGTTAGATCAAATAACCTAAGTGCGAAATCTCAAAGGTTTACACCATTAGGTTGCAAAGATAAAGCAATTGTAAAATTTTAGTTTGTAGCAAAGACTCAATTTTTAAGATCCTATTTGTTATACTTTATCTGAGTAATATTTTCATGAATTTTGTCTTTTTTTTAATACTAGCTTTGAGTAAGGTTTACTTCATAATTGTTTTTTCAAATTAAAGATTTCTATTATTCGTTTGTTTATTTGTTTGATTTATTTGATTGTATTTAGTTTAAACTTTTTCAACTAATTTGATTTTTCAAATATCCATTATTGATTAAAATCATTTAATACATGTTTATTTTTAAACTAAAATTTATTTTGCTTTGATAAATTGTTTTTATAGTTTTTAAGAAGATGTCAACCTGAAGTATAAATACGCCACTATCAGTGGCATCTGCCCTCTATCCTGTTTGTCTTCCGCCGTCGGTAAACAGGCGGAGTAATCCGCCTTTTCTTCCCATTCGCCAGACAATGTACAGTTCCTATATCAAAAAAATTACACAAATTATATACACAAATAGAAACTATATACAACAAGTTGTACGCTCTGTTTGTCTGTTTGTTAGGATGTCCGATCATAACTCATGAACCCCTTGACCGGTTTGCCTCAAATTTCGATTGGGGAACTCGGAAAAAGCACGGGAATGATGCATTTTGATTGATTTTGAGATTCTAAGTTGAACGTGGGTCGACTTTTATAAGGAAATAGCTAAAATTGTAGTTCAAAACCAAGTGCGGGTAAACGGCAAAAGTAACTAAGAGTACCCTGGGCAACGCTGCATTCTCAAGCTAGTGGTAATGTAATATTCCAAAAATTGATAATTCAAAAATCCCCACAGTTTTCGAATATTTTATCGGATATTAGTCCAATCGATACAGCATCGTATCTGTAATTGTTATCAAAAGTAACTTTCATACAGTAGTAATATCCAAAAAAGAGGATTAAGAAGAGAATTATAAGTGTGGTCCATTGGATGCTCAGATTAAGTAATCGGGATTAAGGATATCACATTCTAAAGTGTTTAATTACTTTTATTTTGTCAAAAACTAGTTTAATAGTTTGAACCTTCATTTCAGAAGGAGCATGCTCATTTCACAACAGTATTCTTGAAATATGAATCTTTTCATTATTTTGGAAGAGATTGAAAAGTGTTAAATTTCTTTAATTTCTTCATTGTGGTCAAAGCAAAAAAATGCGCATTTATATAGAAATGGTATCGTTGTGAACTGGACATGCTACACCATAAATAGAGGGAAGAAAATTCTGAAATAAGAAGAATATTTGAAAGTACGTTTACATCAACTTTCTAGAACGCTACATTGATAACCAGAAAACTCTGAAATAAGAAGACATCCTGATAGTAATATTAAAATGTATTTGAACTTGTTTTAAAGCAAATACAGTGATAACCAGAAAAGTCTGAAATAGGAAGACGACTTTTAGACTCTAAATATGACATTAAAAAGTCCAGTCAGCATGGGACACGGCAATTGTGCAATGTAAACAGACCCATTTACTTAATTAGTGATTTTAAAAGTGTCTAGTAAAACTATTTGATTTGTAACAACAACATACACTCAAATATTGCTATAACGTCGTCTTAATATTTCGGAGTTTTCTGGTTATCACTGTAGTTTTACTAGACAATGAAATGAGCCTATTTAAACTGCAATAAAGCCGTATGGTCTATTGGACTATTTAAAGTTATAATTTGAGTCCAAAAGTCGTCTTTTTATTCCAGAGTTTTCTGGTTATCACTGTATTACCTAAATACACTATGCTTAAGGCAGGGTGCAGCCAGGACATTAATTTTGGCGCAAGGATATGAAACTGTACTACCTAAAAATAGGAATTGAGTTATTGCCACAAACTCAAATTTTCTAATTTTCAAACTTAGATTATTTGATCTAACTGAATTCATAGTTTGAAATATCTAAGGACTACGACATTGGATTGCAAAGATATTACGATTAACGAATTAGAGTACGGGGCAAAGACGCAATTCCTTTGCATTGTAAGGATTTATATTAATTTTCAACAACTAGGAAAATTAATTGTTTTTTAAAAAAATTATTAAACTATAAATTCTGTTAGATCAAATATAATCTTATTTTGAAATATCAATGGTTTACACGTCGTCTGGTTTTACAGATACAAGGATCAACGGTTTACACGTAGTTTGGCTTAGCAGATACAAGGATCAATGGTTTACACGTCGTCTAGTTTTAGAGATACTAGGATCAATGGTTTACACGTCGTTTGGCTTAGCAGATACAAGGATCAATGGTTTACACGTCGTTTGGCTTAGCAGATACAAGGATCAATGGTTTACACGTCATTTGGCTGAGCAGATACAAGGATCAATGGTTTACACGTCGTTTGGCTTAGAAGATACAAGGATCAATGGTTTACACGTAGTCTGGTTTAGCAGATACAAGGATCAATGGTTTACACGTCGTCTGGTTTAGCAGATACAAGGATCAATGGTTTACACGTCGTCTGACTTAGCAAATACAAGGATCAATGGTTTACAAGTCGTCTGGCTTAGCAAATACAAGGATCATTGGTTTACACGTCGTCTGGCTTAGCAGATACAAGGATTAAATAAATGTTGATTTGTTCAGTAAAAACTCAGTTCCTTTCCAACAAGTCTCATTTAAAATTTCTACATCTACAAAAACTTTTTTTCAATTTTCTCAAACCGACTTGTCCAAAACAATCTAGACTTTCAATACATTGTTTAATATGTTTTAGATTAATCTAAGGAATTCTAAAACTCTAAATTCCAATCAAACTTTCTTTACTTCCTCATTATACATTGTAGGCGATTATATTAATACAATGAAGACGACTTTTTATAAGTTTTGATTGTTTACAAGCTTATCAAAAAGTTTTCAAAGGGAAGTTTTTTAAATGACAGCTTTTTTAACTTCCATGTTCATTTATTGAATTGTTTACATATTATATATTAAAATCTAAATTCGTATTCATTGATATAATCGTCTACCATTAAATCCCTTTTCATGGTTCTACAGTTTCTATCACTGGTCTACATCAAAAGAAGTTCCTAAAAATTTAAAGATTTAAGGCAATTTTTTATCCGTTTTATCTTATTTATTAAAATAAATATTAAAGATTATATGCCAAGGTTGCTTATTAAGGTTAAATACTTTGGATACGCCCCAATTTACGGGAAATGTCGTCTTCATACCAATGGACAACCCAAATCCTCATATGACGTAACTGATTATTGGCGGAAGATGAATTGGGGGGGTTTTCTCTGCATTTCAGCTGTGAAAAAAATAACCTCATCTTCATTTGAGTGTTCAGTGCTATGAAGACGACATTTCTAGTACCATGGAGCCCATTCTGAGTATCTAACCTTTATAAACAACCTTGGTTTATACTCCCACCTGGAGGTGAGGGAGGCCAGCATACTAGAGAGTCATTAAACCATCCACACCAACCTTAAATATATATATTTATTAAACCATCCACACCAACCTTAAATATATATATGTATTAAACCATCCACACCAACCTTAAATATATATATATTAAACCATCCACACCAACCTTAAATATATATATATATATTAAACCATCCACACCAACCTTAAATATATATAATATTAAACCATCCACACCAACCTTAAATATATATATATATTAAACCATCCACACCAACCTTAAATATATATATATATCACAGTAATTCAGTTTGTATCGCATTAGACTTCGATTTTACCGCTCTAACTTGAATTTGCTTTTCTGTAGCTCTTCACATGCACATGCAGCACTATAAAGCACTTGTTGTTACCCTTGGTTTTTTAAAAAGTAATTGACATAATTCTAATGTATTTTGCTTGAGAGCTCGAGACCAATCACTGTTATATATATATTAAACCATCAACACCAATATTTGATTGTATTCATCATTTTTCCTTCTAAAAAGAACCTTATTGTTTTCCTGAAATAAAAAGACCGCTTATAAAAGCAGTTAAAAATATCTCTTCACAAACTATGATTTTAGAATCCCTATATTTTTGCAACCCGATGTTTTTGACATTTGATGTTTTAAACTATAAATTCTGATCTTAAGTTTGAAATATCAAAACTGTACACCATCAGGTTTAGGTTGCAAAGATATAGGGATTAGAAAATTTTGTTTGTAGCAAAAACTTAGTTCCTCTCTATCCTATGTTATCTAAAAAGGATGTTACCCAAAATATCGTTTTTGCCTTTGATTAAAGCTTTAAACTAACACTTGTTTGTATTTTACAAATCCCAAACGAAACAAAACAAACGATAGTTTTTTTTAAATTAGATTTTACACAAAATCTGTTTTCAATGTGTCAATAATGGAGTGCCCAATGACATTCTTCATTCAACATTAATCAGGGGGGAAATATAATTCCTCAGTCGGATCAAAAGATCATGTGACACGAATATTTGAAATATAATTCCTCAGTCGGATCAAAAGATCATGTGACACGAATATTTGAAATATAATTCCTCAGTCGGATCAAAAGATCATGTGACACGAATATTTGAAATATAATTCCTCAGTCGGATCAAAAGATCATGTGACACGAATATTTGAAATATAATTCCTCAGTCGGATCAAAAGATCATGTGACACGAATATTTGAAATATAATTCCTCAGTCGGATCAAAAGATCATGTGACACGAATATTTGAAAATTCAAAGAAGTTACTCAATATTTACTTGCTGTAGATTCATTACAGTTTTTTTTCAAGAATTAAATTAAATCATTTTTAGGTAAAAAATTAATCAAGTTTATTTATAAGGCTTGATTAACATCAGCTTATGAAAAGCTTCATCTAGTAGTTTCGTCTATTTAGATCTTAAATGAAAAACAAGAGTTGATTAAAAAAATTTTCTAATGATATAAAACAGTCAAAGTTTGAACTAAAGTAGTCCTCCTAAATGTGTAGTCTCTGATAAAAATATAGTTTATAGTCCTCCTGAATGTGTGATCTCTGATAAACATATAGTTGATATCCTCCTAAATGTGTGATCTATAATAAACCTACAGTTAATAGTCCTCCTAAATGTATGATCTATAATAAACCTATAGTTGATATCCTCCTAAATGTGTGATCTATAATAAACCTACAGTTAATAGTCCTCCTAAATGTATGATCTATAATAAACCTATAGTTGATATCCTCCTAAATGTGTGATCTATAATAAACCTACAGTTAATAGTCCTCCTAAATGTATGATCTATAATAAACCTATAGTTGATATCCTCCTAAATGTGTGATCTATAATAAACCTACAGTTAATAGTCCTCCTAAATGTATGATCTATAATAAACCTATAGTTGATATCCTCCTAAATGTGTGATCTATAATAAACCTACAGTTAATAGTCCTCCTAAATGTATGATCTATAATAAACCTATAGTTGATATCCTCCTAAATGTGTGATCTATAATAAACCTACAGTTAATAGTCCTCCTAAATGTATGATCTATAATAAACCTATAGTTGATATCCTCCTAAATGTGTGATCTATAATAAACCTACAGTTAATAGTCCTCCTAAATGTATGATCTATAATAAACCTATAGTTGATATCCTCCTAAATGTGTGATCTATAATAAACCTACAGTTAATAGTTCTCCTAAATGTGTTATCTATAATAAACCTATAGTTGATAGTACTCATAAATGTGTAGTCTCTCACAAACCTATATTTGATAGTCCTCCTAAATGTGTAGTCTCTGATAAACCTATTTGTTGTCTTATATTTATACATGAACAAACTTGAGATAGATTAGAGAAATATAGAACTGGAAAACTATATTCTCAATTCAAATTCAATAATTTCGAGATATTTATATATGTTTATAGATTTGGAATCTCAGTTTTTTGTTTATTTTATATCTAATCATGACTCATGAACCCTTTGACCAATTTGGTTGATATTTTGATTGGGGAACTTGAAAGAATCACAAAAATGTTTTAGTTTATGAGATTCTAAAATGAGTAGGTCCACAATCATGCGCGAGTAGCTGAAATGGACCCGCGTTGGAGCAAAAGCCAAAAACAATGGACCCGCGTTGGAGCAAAAGCCAAAAACAGTGGACCCGTCCTGGAGCACATTTTCCCCCTCCCCCACCTCCCCTCCC